TTAAACATACTTTTATATTATATAAATATAATATGTACTTGAAACAATGTTTGATAGAACTTAATTGCACTATAAGTTTTTTATTAAATTAATAGAGATGTATTTATGTTTACTTATATAAAATTAATAATATATAATTAGTTACATAAATTAATATTTAATTTAAAGCGAGCGTTATTTTCACAATTTTTAGTTGCTAGCATTGTAAGATAAAATACTTACAAATAAAATCTTGAAGAAATTCTTAAGGAAAGAGTGTAACCCATTATCAAAATACTTAACAAATTAGTGACACACACAATTTTAATGTATTAATTATATAGAATACTATACAAGATATGAAATATTGACTACTATATAATTTAACTAAAAGATATGTTATAAATAAATCTAATATACAGATGGATACCAAATAGGCTATAAATGATTAATGAAATAATAGTATATAAGAGTAACAATAGAAAATACTTGATTATGTAATAAGCATAGTTAATTTGAGAAAGCTATTAGATGAGAAACAATTATAAATATTTGTTCTTATTAATAATTACTATTATTTTATAGTTGCATAAATAATTGGATGAACTTAAAATCCTAATATAGTTATCTATTAGTTTAAATTTAAATCAGGTTAAATAATTGTTTAAAAACTAATAATTTTCTTTTTAAATCATTTTCTTATGATAACTTAAGCAAAACTATTTCAATTTTATAAATCAATAAAGATTTTTAATTCTTAGAAGATTACTTAAATTTTCAGATCATTTGAATAAGTGAAAAAGAAAAAAAAATTCTTGAAGAAATGATTGTATATCTATTCATACTCATTTTTAAATACTTTCAAATATCATATCTCTATTTTATTCTTTGTTTCTACCCAAATACCTATTTTTTGACCTGTCATATTGTATTCACCGATATGAGTGAATTCTAGATAACTCTTAAACTGTTCATCCAATTCTACCCACTTTCCAATTTTTTTCTATTTTCCTTCTTAATCATATGATCCACCACCACTATATATTTTATTAATATTTCCCCCTTTATAAATTCTATAATATTTACATTAATTTATATTCCTTTTCTCCATCTTTACAATACATAATATCCCATTAACCAACCTTCATACCAATCATATTATATTCACCATTATGAGTTACTTATTTTCTTAAAGAAAATCTTTCATCAAGCTCAATCCATTTGCCTTACTTTTCACCATTTTTGTTGT